CATGATCGTTTCTTAACCAGCAAGCCCGAAACTCTTTGCCAACCCCAGACCCCAAACATTCGATCCGATAGCAAACCTTGAACTATTCCAACCAGAAACCCTGTCATCTACATATATGTGCTAGATATCATCCAAAACCCCAACCCTAAAATAAGGAATCTAATATATATGCTATTGCCCCTAAGACCCAATAATATAGTGGCTACATGAGCCTGTTCCCACCACAAACCATGTCGACATCTACATCCCTATAACCCCAACCCTAAAATAAGGAATCTGTTAGCTAGCTATAGTATGTATGCTATTGCCCCTCAGACCAAAGATAACATAGTCGGCCAGGTCCCAGCTGATGGCAGAAGGCTACATGAGCCAGATCGATTTCCACATCGCCCCAGTGCAGCAGAAGACGGACGCCTTGGATATGAAATGTGTCGAAGGTATCAAAGACGAGGCTGTGTTGAAGCCGTTTGTGGATGACTTGAGCAAAGCTATCGACAGCTATGGGATCGCGATCAAGGCCATCAAGACTCTCTATGTTTCTTGGTGGAATGATAGTCTCTAGAGTTAACATGTCCTGACCATGGGCTTCGCTGTCCGCTTGCTTTATCTTGTACCATTAGGTCGAACCGGCCCCAAAGAAGACTGCAAGAGCCAAGTCTTCGGCGAAGCTAGAGTGAGGTGGAGTGTGAGGGAGCACTCGACCCTCGCTGATGTGCTGATGTGTGACACTACACATGTTGGCAAGCTGCAGGGGCCGCCTCTGCATACACGCGAGCATGCACTCTATGCTAGAGCTTTCATGTCCAATACATAATGCAAGGCATGTGATCTGGGGCAGTGGGCGGCCTTAGTCTTGCAGCTCTAGGCCAAGGGTTGTGCATGCACCTCACGGCGAGTTTGGTGCATGCTGATCGTCATGACGATGATGTTGTTCCTACATGTGGGGCCTGCAAGTGCCTCTCTTCACATGATGCGGGGGACCCTGCATATGTGCGAGCCTCAAAATCTTGATCATGAGGCGAGAGAGAAAACAGTTCGAGTGCATATGCTAGTGTCTTGGGTGCGAGTGGCAAGATATGATGATAATGGCACGTTCGCAAATCCCTCGCAGGAGAAAGGCCAAATGCTGGGAAAGGTGGAAGCTATCTGCAGAAAAGGCTGCAGACCATGATCTGTGCCGGGGACTGGAGCTGAAACTATTAATCGTGACAACCCGGAATCTAAACTAGCCCTCAACCTATCCCCATAGCCTAGGACTTGAACCCTAAACCCCGAGTGTCCTACCCTAAGCTAGCCCAAATGTTATATCAAATTTTAAGTTGCAGTTTCTACTACCTTTATAAGGGTTCTTGTTCAGGAGCTGAGCTACACTGCCGCTCAGAAGCTGGCTCATGCTGCACTGCTGGACTGGGAGCCGAAAACCCTAAACCTTAAACCCTAATAAACCCTAAGCCCTGAAGCTTAACCCCTAATAACCCTAGAGCCACAACCCCAAACCCTGAAGCTTAAACCCTAAAGCCTAAACCCAAAACTCATGAAGCTTAAACCCTAAAGCCTAAACCCTAAACCCTGAAGCTTAAACCCTAAAGCCTAAACCTTGAAGCCTAAACCCTAAAGCCTAAACCCTAAAGAAACCCTTAACAGCAATTGTGACTAGCTTCAGAATCCGCGGCGCCAGGATTATCGATCGAACAATGTGGTGCCTGGCCGTGGGTTGATGTCGATGGCCACTGCTGGCAAAAGTGGCGAACATGTTTCCAACATCGAAAGAGATGTTCTGCGACGCTCACAGTCTTGCAAAGTTAGCAGCCCAGAGATGTTATGAACTGCCATCGGCTTACTTGAACATCCATGCACTGCTACATCGGCCACTGCTGTCAGGTGAACATCAGAATGGTGACCGCGCCTGTCCGAACGAAGATTCGCGGAGCCTGCCAGGTGGTGGACAGGACTCTTGTCTCAGGCATACCATGCCAGCCGAGCTAGCTTCGATTCATGATTCGTTTGTGTCTGAACAATCTCAGGTAAATGCCAATCGTGCTGCCCCACGACATACTCAATGCTCTGCATCAGGAAGGACGACTAACGAGCTTAAACCACCCGCTGCATTGAGGAACTTCTGGGACCACTTCCACGCTCAGACGAGTAGCCAGATAGCTTGGCCGCCGATGGCACCGCCAGATGGCTTGCCGCTGGGCTTGCATGGAGACGATGCCCGGTATTTGGACAACGGTGCTAAGATCAATGTGCTATCACTGAATCTTATGCTGGATGCAGTGCAAGATCGGTTCCCAATGGTGGTAATCAGACTCGCAACTTGGTCAAGTGAATAGTGCAGGCACCTAGTCCCCAATAATGTTGACTAGTAGTCTTAATTATAACAAATCTTAAACCCTAAACCCGAAACCTTAAACCCTAAAATCTATCTCAGGCTCTAAGCACAGGGTTTGGAACTATGCAAGCATATCTTCGCCCGGTGCCTCGGCTTGATTGAGCTCGGTACTGCTGTGTTCCAGAATGCACTATGCTAGCCTGCTCGCCCCGACCTAGATAGCGGCTTCGTTCAACTTTTGTTTTCTTGGCCGTGCTCCACTGCACCTTGAACCAGACCATCTTCGACCAGAAGACATCAGCAACGACCCTGACGAAGCTTGTGGATCCGACTGCTACACCTTCCCTAGGGCTGGGCTCTGCGAAATCAGGTCGGATTGGAAATTCTGCAAAGTCTGTTGTCCGCAATCATGAGCATTACCAGGCCTACATACTCCCTAGCCCGCATTTGCTGAAAGCCTCCATCCAGGAATTATTCAATCTGGGTGCTGCCTACAATTGCTCAGCGATCTGCCACCAGTGTCTAGCTGTGGACTCGGACTACCTGCACTTTCCTTCGCAGGTGCCGTTTCGAAGACGCCGAAGTTTTTCGGAGTTTGAGTCTATCTGCAAGCCTTTTCGTGGAGAGAAATGATGCTGGGAAATATAACACTGGCTTTGCAATGTGTATATGATGGTCACCTGGGTACGATCTTCTTGTAACAATCATGAGCATTGCATCTAAGGCCACCTCCTGAAGGTGCATGGATTTCACCATTCCATCATCAAGTTCTGCACCTTACATACTCTGAACCTGGGGCTATGCTTGTGGACCGCTGGGTCAACGATTCTGGAGTTGGTGAAAATTGAGGACGCATGTCATGTTATGCATGTACATGTATGATCATGATGTGTGTATATATATATACATATACAAATGTCTAGGTTATGTCCCTGGCCGATATGTTGTACTGTTTATAAAACTCGAGCTCAGGACTTATGGATGGCTCCACCGGGCACGACAAAGAAGGAGACATTGAGTACACGCCTGGCCATGGCATACGAGGATTTCGTTTCCTGGGCCCGTGAACACAAAGTGGAGTTTCTAAGTCGCACGAATTTCGTTACAGGTATCGTCTAGATCATATCGGAGTTGTTTCGCCGAGGCACTCGCAGCCGGAGTTCAAGCCGTCGAACATTCGCGATTCCGTGACCGGGTATGCCGAACTCACTATGAAAGGGCATAATGCTGCTTGGCTTCATGCAGGGTACAACTGCTGGTAGCCGTTTAGCCTTTTTCAGCTTAGGCCCGGGTGGTGATTGCTTGGCTGGCCTATCGTGTCCTTCAGCTCTACAGGGACCGTCCTGAGCTTCGGAGCGACTACATGAAGACGATGGCCAAAGCAGTGTGACTCTACGAAAATTATGCATGCATGTGTTTGCTCGACTGCTCGCTCCAACCATTCAGGTATTGGCTCGCCGAACTTTTCAACAGGATGGAAAGATATGGAAAGTATATGCAAATGGAGGAGCGAAGCGGCCTCGTGGAGGCATCCGACAGTTCGATGCATTTCAGAAGGATTGCCTTTAAATGTTTCTTACTTTTTCGTATTCGCTTGCATGATTGCTTTTTTTGTGAAAACTTCTGATCTCTTCTCCGAGGACAAGTTTGGTGTGGCATATGCTCTACTTGCAAAGCAAGCTGCACGGTCTGGGGATTTGCACTGGATCCTCAGACCCAAGATCCACGCTGCTAGGCATGATTGTGCACGACACATATGTACATGATCATACCGATTATGTGAACTGTTCTGACACGAGGCAATGCAAGAGATTGTGCACATGGCTTGGATGGATGGCTGCATGGATGATCCAGCCTTAAGCTTTTCTTTTGCACTGATGCTGGGGTTCTGTTCACATGTACATGAGCTAGCCAAGGACACAATCCAAAATATTCGCACACCTTCCGGGACGAGTCCTATATGTCCACATGCAAAGCTTTAGCCCGGGCTTGCCATCGAGCCACTCTGGAGTCCAGCTTTCTGCAGCGAGTTTTCAGCCAGTTTCCCGTCCCAAAATTTTGAGTCTGAGCTTGGATAGTGGGGTTCGCTTTAGCATTTACTCCAAAAACAACTGAGGTTTCCAGATGTGCCATGACGATGCCGAGGACGCCTCTGAAATTCGTGGCTCGTCTGACATTTGTGTGACTTCCGATGTTGCAAACTCACGATCATAAGCAGAGCATCGTAAGGTCAGCTGGTCATGACGGACGAAGGATGATGGAAATGCATGAGCATCAGAAAACAATCGGCCGATCAAAGTGCAGCATCTTCACAAGCCATGTTTGTTTACATCGGTATTGTCCTCAGGATGGAATTATCCTCTGAAACATCCTCTACGTGGAATGACCCGGTAGAACCTCAAAGGTTAGTGCCTTTGGACCCTCAGGGAATAATAATAATAGTAATATTAATATTAATGGTAATAATTAATGATAGCAATAATCATAACAATACTAATAATAACAAGAATAATAATTACAGCAACTATCATAATAATCGGAATCAGTACGAAAAATTAAATGAGGAATGATAACAATTAATAATAGTAAGAATGATAGTAATAATAACAACAATTATTGTGATTATGATTATTAGTATTAGTTCCTTGCTCCTAATATTCGGCCTTTACTACGGAGACTCCCAAAAAAAAGCGGGCAAAAGGGTACTACTGGTGAACCTCGACTCAGGGAACTCCTCAGAGTGCGACTCGACCTCGATCGATGAGCCCTCCGGGAGTCGGAGCACACCTGGGTTGCTGCTAAGGAACTTAAGTTAAGTTGCTATAAGAATATTAGTAATAGTAATAATCATAATAATAACAAAAAATAATAACAATACTATTAATACTACTAGTAATCATAATAATATAATAAAATATTAATAACAATAACAACAACAATAATAATAATAATGAGGAAGCCCGCTTGTCTACTGTATATATAACCCTAAACCCAAAATCCAATATGGTATCTTAATTAAGTTTCTTAACAGCAACCCAGACTCCGCAGCAATGGCTGTCCAGCTGAAAATACGCCAGACGTTCATCCGGCAACTTGACCTTCACCTTCATTCCAAACTTCAGGTTTTTTGCCGGAACATTGTGCAGGCGGATGCAAAACCCATTGCGCCCACCATCCGCAGTTTCATGTTGAACAGCTTCCAGATCGGCACTGGCATCAAACTTCTGAGGCTCATTCACCTAGGTTCCCCAGCAGCCCCTTAATAATAACCCTAGACCCCTAAACCCTAAAGCCTAAAACCCCTAAACCCCAATCCCTCAACCGATAAGGGTACCGTTTTTCCCAGTATCCGGTGTTTTTGCCAAGGGAGCCCAGGAAGACCAAAAAAGGGCAAAAGGCTACTACTGGGGAACCAAAGTTACCAAGGCCCCCGGATCGGCACAGAGCTGCTCCTCCGGGTTTAGGGGTTTAGGGGCAAAGGGTATTGGGGCTTAGGGCTTAATTAGGGGTTCGGGGTCTAGGGGTTTAGGGGTTTAGGGTATACGGGCTTAGGGCTTAATTAGGGGTTCGGGGTCTAGGGGTTTAGGGGTTTAGGGTATACGGGCTTAGGGCTTAATTCGGGGTTCGGGGTGTAAGGGAGGGGTTTAGGGTTTATAGGGGCTTAGGGCTTAACTAGGGGTTTAGGGTTTAGGGGTTTAGGGGTTTAGGGTTTATAGGGGATTAGGGCTTAATTAGGGGTTCAGGGTTTCGGGGTTTAGGGGTTTAGGGTTTATAGGGGCTTAGGGCTTAACTAGGGGTTTAGGGTTTAGGGGTTTAGGGGTTTAGGGTTTATAGGGGCTTAGGGCTTAATTAGGGGTTTAGGGTTTCGGGGTTTAGGGGTTTAGGGTTTATAGGGGCTTAGGGCTTAATTAGGGGTTCAGGGTTTCGGGGTTTAGGGGTTTAGGGTCTATAAGGGCTTAGGGCTTAATTGATTAGGGGTTTAGGGTTTAGGGGTTTAAGGTTTAGGCCTCCATCTGAGAAATGTAGACATGCCTCCCAGCGTGCTGAGCAGTGGGAAGCTGCTTCTGATCCGAACAGTCCTCGGGGACTATGTATGCATGGCCTTTGTTGCGGTATTTCCGAAAACTGCTCTCGATGAGCAGTTGCGCTCGCTCCACCGGAAGAACAGCCATGGACTGGTATCTTTCCAGCTTCGTCAAGTTATTTTCAGACTTGACCTCTCCGGCGTGCGCGTGCCAGACCTTGAGCACACCTTGCTCCGGATCTGCGTCTGGGCCACAAAAGTGGTAGACACAGGCTGTGGGCTGTACAGGTGCAAGAGGAGGCCTCAAACGGGCAGCAAATGCCGCATAGCCTGAGCTGCCCCATGTCCAACTGTGAAAATAGACCACGGAACCTTTGCTAACCGATAGATCTTTCGCTGAGAAGACTCGATGAAAGCTGACATGTTGAGACATTTCGCAGATCAGCTGAAGAGAGGAGCCCTCCGGAAGGACCAACTTCGCATGCTGCCTGCTCTGCATCGTGTAGTCCACAAATCTTGAGAGATGTATGACTCGGATGGCCAACTTGCGTTCTTTTTCGTCAGCCTTGAAGATATTGTGCAGCATAATGTGGAACCTCTCGTCTTTCTCTGCGCTTGTGTCAAGAGGACCGATGAGACCTGCTGGGAGGGGATCTGCTTCCCCCAGCATCAAGGCCTTGACGAACCGGCTCAAGCTTGCCCTTGTCCGGAAAGCAGTGTCTTTCGGAATGGACTCCATGAATGCTTCCTGTCCCAGCTCTTGTACATCTTTCTGCAGCTGGGGGATCCCAGCTCCCTGTTCAACTGCGTAGCCCATCTCAGTCAAGAGGCCAAGTACTGCATTCTTCTCTTCAGGGGTCCCATCGAAGGTCTCCATGATATTCACTGAGAGACACGTAGGGAGCACGTGGGACCTGAAATTAAACTTGGCTTGAACCAACAGACATGCCAACATCGGCTGATTCTTGACTTGAGGCTAGTCATAATAGTGATATACGCAGATTGCTGCTTGGCGATATCCACTGCGGCGGCACGATCTGGCCTTCTGAACTAATCCTAAACCCTGAACCCCTAATCCCCTAAAGCCCTAAACCCTAAAGCCCTACAGCCCTGAACGCCTAAACCCCAAAAACTCTAAAGCTCTAAACCCAAAGCCCCAGGCTCTCTGAAGAGGAGGTGGTCCCAAGCCCCGAAGCCCTAAATCCCAATGCCCAGGTGCGAAGTGGTAGCACCTGACGGCGCCCTTGGCCGGTCTCTCGAAAACAACCTTGCGCTCTTTTTTTGACGTTTAAAGCTTAGGGTTTAGGGTTAAACCCGGAATTAAACCCTAAACCCTAAACAGGTCTAGTTGTAGGGGTCGTAACGACTGGACGTGAGAATAAGGCTTCTTTTCAGGGGTCTGTAACCCAGGGTCTAGAAGGGTTCTACAAAGGTTTTTTACAAGGCTCTTTAAGAACGTCCTTCACATTAAACTCTGAAGCCAAGTATGAGTTTAGGTATGCTCCATAGCTACGCTCACCCTGTCTTAAAGTACCCTAGTTGTATGGTTACCATCTCTTACATAGACAAGTAAGTACCCTAAAAAAGGGAACCTAATTTACCCTGAACCCTAAACC